TATTGATATTCAACGGAGAAAGAGGGCTGGTTGGTCGCACTCCACTCCATCGCCATTAAGGAAATCTCCCAAACAGCATCTGGAAAAAAAACCCACGCCTACCTCCTCAATCTTTCCTTCTTTCCGACTATGCTGCATGGCTGTGAGACGTGGGCATTGACGAAAACTGAAGAGAGTCATCTATCCACTACGGAGAGTGTCACAGAAGAAACATAATCTCACGTCGCGATCACATCCCCCCCCCAATACAATGATCGGACAGCGAAGGGGAGTGAAGGACGCTGTCATTGAAAATATAAGGAAGTAGCTACAATGGCCGGGACACGTAGCTCGCTTCACCGAAGGATGATGGTTGGCGATGATCGTTGACTGGTACTCTCGCGGGCAGGAGCGAAGAGTGACCACGTCTGGAGAGAAAAGGCTCGAAACCGTGAGAAATAATGATCATATTGCGGAGGGAGCGATTCATAGTCCTTTATCAGTCAGTTCAAGTGCTCCAAGTGACATTATGGCTCTCGCTCATAAAGAGTCCTTAGTCTCATTGTCCTTAAAACAATGTATATCATCGTCTGCCCAGAGAATCGAGGAATCATACGACATTATATCATATCACTAGAGAGTGTACACTGTAAATCCGTTGAATGGTCTGAGGTAGGTCTGAAATTCCATTTCATTCGCAATAGTCGACAGTCGCCATTCTGCGAAGTTCTCGTGTTCATACATTGTTGTCCTTAGATGACAACAGCATCAAGTACCGAGTGGCCGCTGTAATTTCATCTATGTCGAGAGTGAGACTGTTATTCCAAGAAGGTTTTCACTCTGGCTAATTGATCAGGGTTAACCATACCATTGTACTCGTTGGATTGTTGCAAAATGTAATGAATTAAACATAGGATGACGGGTCTTTCAGGCTGCTGTTTCTCAATTACCCTCTGAGAATAGATCTGTTTACCTGGCATCCTCTGTAAATTAAAATTACTTTTATAGAGATCCTCAAAGCTTGTTCATTTGTGCACGGCTAATTGTTCATGATTTTATTAATTTAGTCCCCTTAACTTTACGGTAGTTAAACAAGCTATGAAACTTCATGGTTATTGGTTCAAACAGATGATCAGTTATTAAGTCTTTATTTTCTAATGGATTTTCTGGCATGTTAGCTTAGCACCCTTTTAAGCCGTAGACTGCTCAAAATCGCTGTGGTTCGCCCACTCACGTTAAAGTGTGCAATTGCAAAGCAACGCGACTATGATGTCTAGACAATGGAACATTTTGTCTCTAACGTACATTTCAGAAATTCTGTAACACGTAGTTGATGTTCAAGATATCTCACCGAAGACAGCCTTCTCGGAAATCTTGTCAATTTATCCTAATGTTGCTAGTTCTTTCTAGCTGTAGTTTTTGCTGAATGCTGATAGAAAAACGAACCATTGTCGTTGACTTGTACCCATAGCGTTATAGTCATTGGAACTCGTTTTGAACAACCTGACGGGGATCAATATGAATCCTTGACGGTACTGTATTTCTTTGGACATCATTTTGGCTGGTACAGATATTATAGCTGGATACATTTCCCCCCACCGGTCATACTAATCATGATCAAGTTCTACAATCGTATAGTTAAGAACCCAGTCATGTCGCATGCCCTGGTTTACAAACGCACGGGGCACGAATGCCAATTAATCGGTGTCAACGACTTGCTACGACGCATGCTGATGGTCCTGTTGTTCACCGTCACTGCATGTGAAACGAAGCTTCGACGCCAGTACGATGACCCAGATTAATTAATCGTCTGAATCCTTTGTGCATTGTTTTGACCACCATTTACTTGAGGCTTTGCTCTTTGTTGAGGTATCACATTCCCTATTGCATTCAGCACAAATGTGGTATTGATTCTAAACCACGTGCTCAAGCTGTTCTCGCGAAAAACGTTTTGGCTGGAGCTCGAGCGGTAAATCAACCGTCATATGCGGGAGTGATGAGAGGTTGCCAAGTTTCTTATGATCTTTCTCCAGCGTATGCACAATGAATGCAAAACAAACAACGAATATACGACGATGCTCATATGTATATTCTATTGACAGGCATTTTACTCATCTAAGGCCAAACTTAAAAATTTGTTAATATTCTCTGATGTTTGTTCGTCGATGACTTTTATGCTTAAGCGGTGCCTCCTCTTTCTAGGATAAACAAGTTTTCTGATAGGTCATTCGGGAAAATATCCGGGTCAGGTTCTACAACAGCCGGGTGCGATAACGTGGAACATCTGCAAGACTCTATACTAGCACCCAGATAGTTCGTTTGGCAGTCTTGACTACCGGTAGTGGGAACCAGTATGGTTTTTATGAAGAACATCAGATGTTGTTGCGCTGGTAGAGCAGAACTCACAAAACTTCCGTCCACTTCAGAGTATTTAAAACTGGTAAGAGTTTGTTGGAACGTCTATCTCCTTTGCCCTTCCATCAGAACATGAAATGAAAAATATGTTATGCGTTTACCACGGAGGTTCAAAGGAATCTCGAGCAGGTGAGTCTACATGTATCCAAAAGAGCTGAACCAAGCAGCAGTTTACAATTAGAGGAATAGCAGCAGAATGGAAGGCTGATTTCAGTCATATTATTTTGATGTGTGCCTATATAAGCAAAGATTGTATATGCATCTGCCTTGCCTGCACATGTCGCGAGAAGGCAGGAAAGTAGGATCACCAGT